CGCGAGGAACTTCCTTCTTTGAAACTGCTTCTTACATGAGCTGTTTCGGATATTTCGTCTCCTGGCTTATTTCGTCTCCTGGCTTATTTCGCTTCGGCTCTGCTGAGACGTCCTTTCACGGAATATTACTCAATGACAGGTGAGTTGACCAGTTCCCTTTGATTCATTTGCTTGTGTTGACTCTTTCATTTACGAAAAGTGTGCTGATTTTAGGTGGAATACAATAAATAATGGAAAAGCTGACAGGTTCTCTTTTCTAAATTTAGCTTTTCTGCTGTCGAGGCCTCCTTTTATCGAATACTCAATGACAGGTGATCTCTGCGTTGACCAGTTTCCTTCGATTCATTTGCTTATGCTCACCCTTTCCTTTACGGAAACGTGTGCTGATTTTATTCGGATTTAGATCCACTCGTATCTCTTTGCCCTTGCCCACAGTGTGCGAAGAAGGCGAAATCACATTCTTGACGGTAAGGCTTATGTTGCTGCTGAAGCTTAGATCATAAGATGTGTTGTCGAAATTCTCATGTTCATTGTACATTGGAACGTTACAAGTAAGGCACTGGTCATGATTGCTTCCGGCATTCCGTGCTCCGATCATAGGGTAGAATCTGAATTTTGCAGTGGCATAGCATCGTTGGCAGTTCCCAATCTGGAGAGAACGGTGATAGGCGACAAGCCTCTGGGTCATCCTAATAAAGATATTATTATTAAAGGACGCATTGGCCGAGTATGCAAAATAAATTGGCATATCAGGAAAGAAAAGTTTCAAGGACGCATTGGCCAAGTCTGCAAAATAAATTCGCATATCAGGGAAAATCTCCTTTATGGAGAGGTTCATGCATTCAGTGACTTGTTTGCTTCATACGAAACAAGCCAATCGGTGCAGTCTCGTGAAAATCTCTTACGATTGGATTTGTTTAGTCGAGTCAGGGCTGTTTGATTTGTGAGTAGCGCCGAGATTGCACTGCCCCAAATAAAGTTGCGTGCCGGCAGAGCAAGCGATCTGCAATCTGTTTGTAGTACCTGCAAGAAAGTGCTGTACATGTATCGTATTTTCTCTGTTGTTGTTTCAGTTGCCGCCATGTTGCTGAAAAAAGGTTCAGTGACTCATTTGTTTCATACAAGACGAGTCAATGGTTTGGTCTGGCTTAGAATCTTTCGCTGTAGAAGAAATCTATTCGTGTCTCTATTTTCACTGGTTATAAAATAGGGTTACGACAAACTCACAGAACAAATACCATCGGTCCCTTGATGTTCGTCCTAAAGAGGTTTGACTGGATATCATTCACACTCACCAAAGACGTGTAACATTTTATTATTATGGAGTGCCTTGTTTATCTCTCAGTACCTCCAACCATAATATCCTTGCCCCTTATATCCTCAGGATCAGTGTAGTTGTTGGAACGAGGTGTCAGATTCAACAATGTATTTGTTTACATTTTAATACATGTTTATTGTTCCTACTTTGCTGTGTTGTTTTAGACAATCGTGGACTTGTAACATTTTGAAGTCATTGAACTGCTTCCAAAAGTTTTGTCGACATCAACAGGATTACGATTTCAGAACTATATGATGCAGGATGACCTTATCACGACAACCCATGACTACAATTATAAACACAGAATCAACGAAAACATATGCGGTACGCACCTGGTTACAATTCTCAAGTAAAATTTGATTTAGGGTGTGGAAATCTGAATTTTCTGAAAGACAAGACAATTTTATGACAGAGTCATGAAATTCTGCAACAGCAACATCCACAGAATGACCTGCATATAAAAGAATTATCACCGCCGCTACCCATATGATTCCCCTGCAGAAGAACATTAATATGCAAGACTAGTTCTATTTTCTGCAAGAAAAGGCTTGCACATCAATTACATCTTAACTCGTATCCATATGTCTTTTTCTCTTCCACATTTATTTATGGCTCAACATCCGAGTTTAGGCCTTGACGGATTATGCTAGCATAATTTTTCGCATAATTCCTACCAAAATCGAATAATCGCATAATTCGAGGCAAATTGCATAAGAATCGCATAAAATTGTAATAATCCGCCTGTTCGCATCAAATTCCATACAGTTGTACATGTTCTACAAGTACAAGTACAATGTAGATGCACTAGGAAGTTGTAGGTTTACGACTCCCTTGATAACATGTCCAGTCCACTACAATCAGTAGTCACATCCTTTATTGCTGAACCCACAAATAATTGTGATACAAATTGTAAACCATCCGAGGAAGAAGAGAAAGCCATTAAAAATAAAAATAAAACAAAAAAGGTTATTGTACCATGCCAAACGGCTATTATTAAGTCATGTACCAATTGTAATACATGACGTAGTATAGCAATCAGTGATGGTAGTAGTAGTAGTAGTAGTAGTAGTAGTAGTAGTAGTAGTAGTAGTAGTAGTAGTAGTAGTAGTAGTAGAATTTATTATTTTGATAGGGAAGGCCCTACAGACGTTGCCGTCTTGTTACAGGGAACCCTATGGTCGTAGCTAGCGTAGCGTTGACCCCGTTGAACTTTTGCAATTACAGTACAACGCCCTCTACAAAAAAATTCCCTTGTTATTTTGCACAGAACCATTATGCATTAGCAGCATATGTGAGCATAATGCGGCATAATATGATAACTTTTAGCATAAAAATAGCATAATTCTCCAATTTTTTCAGCAATGCGAAAAGCATAATTTCACGAAAATATTAGCACATGCGATTATGCGATTATTCGATTTTGGTAGGAATTATGCGAAAAATTATGCTAGCATAATCCGTCAAGGCCTAACCGGGGTCCAGGCCTCCAGGGAACCAGGGAGCGGCAAGAGACCTGCACTCAGTGCACAGAGGACTCGGCGTGGGAACATAGGAGTAGAAAAATACCGGTATTTTACTACTCCCTTGTACGAACTGGGCCTTTCTTGCCACTCGTTTCACGTACGCGTGCCCCAGCTTACAACAAATCCCTGGAGTCGAGTCCAAAAATCACGTTATCGAATAAGGTCTATAGAGACTGGGCGCCATGCCCGCGCCCTGTCTGCCGTAATCCTTGCATTAATACTAGCACTACAACCTTACGAAGTAGTGGTTGCGACTTCGGCGATGATTTGTAAGAAAGGGTTTGCTCCCCACACCGGAGCTCGCGCTATTCCGCCGACTTTACTTGACACTTGACCGACTCAAGACTGCCATCCAGAGCACATCCTTTATTGCTGAACCCATTTGTGGGTTCAGCAATAAAGGATGTGACTACTGATTGTAGTGGACTGGACATGTTATCAAGGGAGTCGTAAACCTACAACTTCCTAGTGCATCTACATTGTACTTGTACTTGTAGAACATGTACAACTGTATGGAATTTGATGCGAACAGGCGGATTATTACAATTTTATGCGATTCTTATGCAATTTGCCTCGAATTATGCGATTATTCGATTTTGGTAGGAATTATGCGAAAAATTATGCTAGCATAATCCGTCAAGGCCTAACCGGGGTCCAGGCCTCCAGGGAACCAGGGAGCGGCAAGAGACCTGCACTCAGTGCACAGAGGACTCGGCGTGGGAACATAGGAGTAGAAAAATACCGGTATTTTACTACTCCCTTGTACGAACTGGGCCTTTCTTGCCACTCGTTTCACGTACGCGTGCCCCAGCTTACAACAAATCCCTGGAGTCGAGTCCAAAAATCACGTTATCGAATAAGGTCTATAGAGACTGGGCGCCATGCCCGCGCCCTGTCTGCCGTAATCCTTGCATTAATACTAGCACTACAACCTTACGAAGTAGTGGTTGCGACTTCGGCGATGATTTGTAAGAAAGGGTTTGCTCCCCACACCGGAGCTCGCGCTATTCCGCCGACTTTACTTGACACTTGACCGACTCAAGACTGCCATCCAGAGCACACGTAGGTTCGATGGACTTCTCGTGTGCTCTGGATGGCAGTCGTGAGTCGGTCAAGTGTCAAGTAAAGTCGGCGGAATAGCGCGAGCTCCCGTGTGGGGAGCAAACCCTTTACTACAACCAAGAGTACATAACCCCCACGATCCTGTCAGCTTTTCTATTATTGTGTTCAGGGAGTCGTAAAATACCGGGAGGCGACACGCCACACATTTCACGATCCGAGGATTGCCGCACTCGACCCACGAAATTTGAAGCGTGATTGAAACGTCGTCGTCATCTTCTTTTTCTCTATTGTTTTTGCTATATGCTTCGAGGCTATTCTGGATCTCCAGAGCGAAAGCTGGTTGTTTCTGATACGTACCACGCATTACCTTAGGTTGAGCCGTGGCTTTTAATTTTTTTTTGGAAGTTCACTGCTTTGGAGACGACGGAATGTCAAGGTAAGTTATTCACGAAATGTACTCAAATTTGAATTGAGTCAATGCGAATGACACCCTGTTTTCGGAATAGTTCTCCACTAAACACACCATGCCCATGGCCCCTTCATGTTGTCCAAGTTCCATTCTAGGTTTGTGTGAAGTTTCGAGATGAAGTTCGACGATGTACTCACCTTTCCATGGAAGGGAAAAAAAGTAGCATATCAAACAGAATCCATGCAGTATTTGATGCCACTATCCTCATTCTTCTGCATTCAAAGTGTTTCACATCTATATGGCCCATGAACTGCAAACAATATTTGTCATTTCTTAACTGTTCATAGCTGTTCATAACTGTTCTGAACACATTGCCTTCAGGAAACGTAAGGCCGAGTCGCCTCACCGACTGAGCAAAGTTCTCTGCGACGAAAGTCACACTATCGGCGAATGCACTCAAGGTGAATACCCGTCAATATCCTGTATACTGCTTGTACCGCTTATCACAGTAGCATACACACAAGCACACATACACACACACACACACACACACACACACACACACACACACACACACACACACATGCATGCTCGTGCACACACAAGCGCAAAATTCACATATCACTGGTTCAGTTGTTCTTATCTGTATCGTATTTTGTCTTATACAGAGCTTCCGAGCCACGCCGAGTCACCTGACCAACTGAAGAAGGTTCTGTGCGACGAAAGTCACACTATCGGCGGTTTCACGGAGCGGTTGGTCATTTCTGGGCAACGCTTGATGCTCAGATGTTTGGAGAATGGCTCCAAAATTCTCCAAACAAGGCTGAAGGCTTGTCACGGCATCCTTGCCAAATAAAGGTATAAGCTGCAGCAAGTTGTCGTTGCGACACCCTGCTCCTTCCAGCTCACGCCGCACGGCCACCAAGCACCAACCACCATGGTACTTTTCAGCAAGGTGAGACAAATCGTCAATCACCGGTTCGGGGATGGCTTCAGCAGCTTTGGATGGTGCTATTGACGCTTTCCTGATAGCAGCGGCAGCCGTGGCATGCAGGTAGCTTATCAGATTCGCTAGCACTGCAGATGTAACTTCCAAATCTGAAGAAGAGAAAAGAAAAAGACAACATATAAGGACTGGTGGTTGCAGAGACTGTACTAGTATTCAAAAGCCAGCGTTTGCATACCTAGTCTGCATACCTAGTCAGAAGCCAATTTTTTTCCAACATGCATGCAAAACGCACTGACCTTCACAATTGATTTTCACTTCGGGAATAGCTGTTGCGATGACGGACAGCATTTGTTGCCATGCTTGCGAAATATCAGCACCCTTGCATGCCTTCAGCTGGCACACTTCCTGGCGTAGCAGCTTTGCAGTACCTGATGCCTTGTGTAACCGTGTCGTAATAACATGCAGGAATGACTCCGTCGCCTCAGTAACACTCGCCTGTCTCATTGTCAGCAGTTTGCAAATTCCATGGATCACTGCACCTTCCATAGGCCTGTACACCATGATGGCACTACCACTCTTACATCGATCTGCACAATAGACAAAGTATGGTTTGAGGATGGAGGTTTACATCATCTACGGTGATGATACATACTAGGTACACACGTAAATTTTCAGGACTTCAATAAATATCCTGTCACAGTGAACAGACAATGCATCGTGGGCAGACTAGGATGAAAAGGATGGTGTCGACCACCTAATTTATCGGGTCAGTTCGGGCACTTAGGTATGCTACAGATTATACATTCGTGTCCACAAGGAAGAGACAAAAACATGCAAACGAAAGAATCTCACCTGTAGCCCACAGCTGAACATCCCCACAACTCAGGTCACCAAGTGAATACGTGGCGTCATCTACATCTTCCACGGTGGACTCATCACTTTGGCAGTCATCTCTGTCAAGCTCCATCATCCTTTACTTCGAAGGCCAAGGCACAAAGTATTATTACTTAGAAAAACAAAACGAACTGCTGACACTGGATTCGTTGTGTGCAGGATAATTTTATTGAGTTTTCAAATTTTTTGGACCAAACAGCGAACGAGTCCTTTTGCATGACCTGCGCCGCTTTGACCTCATGGGAAGTCCCTCGCCATGCAGCGCGTGAGGTCTCAGCACTCGTGCCCGAGCTGAGGCAATCATCCGACGCGGTTGTGCATCTCGTGTCGCCTCCCGGTATTTTACGACTCCCTGATTGTGTTCACATGGCAGAAAAAACGACACCGCTATGCTACGTAAGTTTCTACGTAAGGTGCTCGGTACTTCACTTAGGCTACGTAAGTTTCTACGTAAGGTGCTCGGTATTAGATCTACTAACGCGTGGTAGCCGCGTGCTGTGCACGTGCACGGCAGACATTGTGTTGCATGCAGTGCAGTCCGTTTTCGGATGTGCATTCGCGAGGAACTTCCTTCTTTGGAACTGCTTCTTGCATGAGCTGTTTCGGATATTTCGTGTCCTGGCTTATTTCGCTTCGGCTCTGCTGAGACCTCTTTTCACGGAATATTACTCAATGACAGGTGAGTTGACCAGCTCCCTTTGATTCATTTGCTTGTGCTGACTCTTTCATTTACGAAAAGTGTGCTGATTTTAGGTGGAATACAATAAAATTAATAATGGAAAAGCTGACAGGATCTCTTTTCTAAATTTAGCTTTTCTGCTGTCGAGGCCTCCTTTTACGGAATACTCAATGACAGGTGATCTCTGAGTTGACCAGCTTCCTTCGATTCATTTGCTTACGCTCACCCTTCCATTTACGGAAACGTGTGCTGATTTTATTCGGATTTAGATCCATTCGTTTCACCTTGCCCTTGCCAACAGTGTGCGAAGAACGCGAGTTCACCTTCTTGACCGTAAGGCTTATGTTGCTCCTGAGGCTTTAAATAGATGTGTTGTCGAAATACTCATGTTCATTGTACATTGGTGCGTTACAAGTAAGGCACTGGTCATGATTGCTTCCGGCATTCCGTGCTCCGATCATAGGGTAGAATCTGAATTTTGCAGTGGCATAGCATCGTTGGCAGTTCCCAATCTGGAGGGAAAGGTTCAAAGACGCATTGGCCGAGTACTAGTATGCAAAATAAATTCGCATATCAGGGAAAATCTCCATTATGGAGAGGTTCATGCATTCAGTGACTTATTTGCTTCATACGAAACAAGCCAATGGGTGCAGTCTCGTCTCGTGAAAATCTCGTACGATTGGATTTGTTTACTCGAGTCTGGGCTGTTTGATTTGTGAGTAGCGCCGAGATTGCACTGCCCCAAATAAAGTTGCGTGCCGGTAGAGCAAGAATTACGATCTGCAATCTGTTTGTAGTACCTGCAAGAATGTGCTATACATGTATCGTATTTTCTCTGTTGTTGTTTCAGTTGCCGTCATGTTGCTAAAGAAAGGTTCAGTGACTCATTTGTTTCATAAAAGACGAGTCAATGGTTTGGTCCGGCTTAGAATCTTTCGCTGTAGAAGAAATCTATTCGTGTCTATTGGCGAAATATTTGTTTTCACTCGTTATAAAATAGGGTTAACACAAACTCACAGAGCAAATGCCATCGGTCCCTTGATGTTCGTCCTAAAGAGGTTGGACTAGATATCATTCATACTCCCCCGAAGTCGTGTAACATTTTACTATTATGGAATGCCTTGTTTATCTCTCAGTACCTAAAACCATAATAATATATCCTTGCCCCTTATATCCTCAGGATCAGTGTAGTTGTTGGAACGAGGTGTCGGACTCAGCGATGTATTTGTTTACATTTTAATGCATGTTTATTGTTCCTACTTTGCTGTGTTGTTTTAGACAATCGTGGACACTGAACTGCTTCCAAAAGTTTTATCGACATCAACAGGATTACGATTTCACTACAATATGATGCCGGATGACCTTATCACGACAACCCATGACTACAATTATAAACACAGAATCAACAAAAACCTCTGCGGCACACACCTGGTTACAATTCTCAAGTAAATGTGATTTAGGGTGTGGACATCTCAATTTTCTGAAAGACAAGACAATTTTATGACAGTCATGAAATTCGGCAACATCCACAGAATGACTTGCGTATAAAAAAAGCATCACCGCCACGACCCATATGATTCCCCTGCAGAAGAACATGAATACATGTATGCAAGACTAGTTCCATTTTCTGCAAGAAAAGGCTTGCACATCAATGCGTGTAATACGGTATTGAATTTGATATGATACACATAGGGGCTCCCGTAAGAAGAACATAGGTCTGTGGGAAACACCCTAGTAAAATAAATAAAATAATAATAACAACATGCAGAGGCGCTACATGTAGGCCATCATTAGGGCATTCCATTGGTTACACAATTATATCCTTTAGCAAAAAAAAAGAAATTATAGCAATAAAAACTGCTTTATGGCAGTTTTCTAAAAAAAGTTATTGTGTTCTAGTCCATGGACCTCGTCTAAAAAGTAAGAAATTAAGGAAATGTGATAGCCGAAAATTAAAATTTCACACAAAACCTCACAATAATCACACACAGGATGCGAGACGACCTTTTCCCCTCGTGGTCCTCTTTCATATGCAAGCATGTTGGCGCAGTACATGTACTTGTACCGGTACAAGTACAAGTGTCGAAATAAACAAGTTTTTTTGACGGATGCCGGATGGGAGTTTGAGCTCTCACTCGGACCTGGTTTCTGGCGCCCCGTTCGCAACTCACCCTGATGCAGAGTGGCCAGTGTTGCCGGTGCAACGGCAACGGCACCTGCGTCAGGTGTGACTGCACCAAGGCGGCACGGAAATGCTGGAGCTGCCTTCCGTCAAAGAAGGATCGTTGTAAAAATTCCGCCATCCCTTCTCCTCCCCAGCCGGAGCAAGCTGTCAACGGCCATCGACAACCTACGGTGCAGGACAACGCTACGGGAACAGTTCTAACCGTAAAATGCGATGATGCCAGCGTGGATGCCAGTGCAGCCAAAGCTCTCACCGCCACCCTGCTGGCAGAATGTCGAGATCCCGTACCCGTAGATCTACCGTGCAGCGGTGAGGTGGCGGCTGACCATGAGGCCAATCAATCCACTCGATTTACTGGCGATCAGACCGCTAGCGCCGCCTCAGACTCCCAACAGTTTGCTTGGAGAGCACTGGATCAGCTGCAACCAACCACCGTGGTTACGGAGGGCGGAGCGGACGAGCCTCCTGCCGGCGCTCAGTCGGACTCCCAGCAGTATGCGTGGAGGACACTGGACCAGCATCAAGCACGCACAAGTGCGTCCCAGGAAAGCCCTGTGCCCACCCCAGAAGAGGTCGACCTCGTAGCCAATCTGGATCAGAGCCAGCTGCAACAGACCCCGACACACTCAGATCAGGAGCTGGAGGAAGGCCCACGGGATCTTCAGGATTTTCCTACTGCCCCCACTACAGGATTCCTTCTGGGCGAGCGTACCAACTAACTTACTTGGATTCTGTGCAGGCTGTGCAAGACGTGTACGAAGAAGTGGTACACTGTAGACCGAATGCAATGCAGGTACCCCGAGGAGCCACTGGCAAGCTCTTCGTATCCCAACTCGCCAATTACATTACGTGCTTTGGAACCAGTGGGCCATATGAAGGCATAGCTCTGAAAGTGGCCATGGTCTTCCAAATGCTGATGCTGCAGAAGCCGCCAGGTCCTGCAGAGAAATCCGCAGATATCCTGCAGCGCCGCCTAGCAGCATGGCACAGAGGGGACCTACACGACCTGCTGCACGAATGCCGGACGATTCAAGAGGAGCTCACAGCACCTAGCCGGCCCCACCGCGGGGGTAACAAGGAGAAGGATGATGCACGCCACTTTGCAAACCTGGTGACAAGTGGGAAGCTATCCAACGCCCTACGATCGCTAGCCCCCAACGGAAATGCTGGAGCCCTGGCGCTGGATGACAGCATCGGTGATAAGTCAGTGCAAGAGGTCCTGCAAGACAAACACCCTGACCCTGCGCCCCTAGCCACGGAGGCCCTGATACAAGGTGTTCCCCCTCCTCAGCCTCATCCGGTCAGGTTCTCTGGTCTCAATCGTGACTTGGTGAGAAAGGCGGTACTCAACACTCATGGCGCAGCCGGCCCGTCAGGTGTAGACGCTGAGGCATGGAGGTGGATGTGCACAATGTTCTCCGATGCGTCTGACTCGCTATGCGATGCGCTGGCAAGCTCTGCTCGACGTGTGGCGACCGAATTTGTCGACCCCCGATCGCTGGAAGCGTACCTGGCATCCCGACTCATCCCCCTCAACAAGAACCCGGGGGTTAGACCCATTGGGATTGGCGAGGTGATGCGGAGAGTGGTGGGCAAGGCCATCCTGTACGTAATTGGTCAGGATATTCAAGAGGCAGCTGGCACCCTTCAACTCTGTGCAGGCCAGGACTGCGGGATCGAGGCGGCGATACATGCCATGCAGCAGGCGTTCGACCAGGAGGATACCGAAGCGGTCTTAATGGCAGATGCCACGAATGCGTTTAACACGCTGAACAGGGAAGCATGCCTGCGCAACATGCGTCACCTATGCCCATCCCTGGCGACAGTCGTGATTAACAGCTACCGACAACCCGCAAAGCTGTTTGTTGGGGGCAGCGTCATCATGTCGGCAGAGGGCACCACCCAAGGCGATCCCATCGCGATGCCGATGTATGCGCTGGGCATTCTACCCCTCATTCGTGCTCTCTCGGCTGAGGGAACGATCCAGATGTGGTTTGCAGACGACTCCTCCGCGGGCGGCAGAGTCCAACGACTACGCGCTTGGTGGGATATTCTGCGACAGAAAGGACCGGCATATGGGTACGCAGCAAATGCTGAGAAATCAGTCCTGGTTGTCAAGGTCGGTCACCTGACGAAAGCTGAGGACGCCTTTGCAGGGACCGGTGTGCACATTACCACCGACGGCCACCGGTTTCTAGGTGCTGCACTCGGATCGACGGAGTTCGTCCAGAGCTATGTTTCCCAGAAGGCAAACGGGTGGAAAGACGAGATCGTGTCCTTGGCCAAGATTGCCGAAACCCAGCCACAGGCTGCCTATGCAGCATTCACGCAAGGCCTGAAGCATCGCTGGTCCTTCCTGTGCAGAGTCATGGAGTGTGCTGCTGAAAATCTTGGCCCTCTGGAAGACACCATCACCAATGCCCTTATTCCTGCCCTGTGCGGTAAGCCAGTAAACTCACGTGAGCGAAGGGTCCTTGCTTTCCCATGCCG